TGATATAAGTGCTCCTATGAATATCGTTCTTTTTATATCACTTGTCATTTCGCCGTTCCTGAGCGCGCGAAATTTCAGCCCTATCATTTGTGGAAAATAATCGCTTCTAATTTAAAAACTATTATAGCCTCGACACTTTTGTATTAGGATTTTCGTCTGGAAATGTTCTAAGGAATCTGTCATTAAGAGGACCTCCGGTGGTTTTAGGACACCGTGTATAATGATCTTAAAAGTGTTAAACCTGTGCTTGCATGATTTCAAGGTTCTTCCCAAAATGTGGACCAACATATTTTCCTCCTTTTTCAAACCGTATAAATTGTTGATAAATAAGATTCAAAAATCTGTTGCTTTCAAGGACACAGTCCTCAAGACTTAGGTCCGGTTGCACCAACGTCACGGAATTTCAACTTTAGCTCAATTCACTCTTCGTCTCTTTCTAGAGGCCCGAACGCAAAAAACTTAAGACTTAAGAATTTCGACCAATCGGAATTTTCAGCATCGCTCGAGTTTCAAAATAGCTGGTTTACATTTTCGGCAGTCGTTGGACATTTCCCTTAAGTTTTACGTTTTACTGCTTCCTCGTGTGTTCGGGCCTTAATTGTTTCCCTTAGAAAGAGACAAAGAGTGAATTGAGCTAACAATAAGATTAAAGTTAGAGTTTAATACAGGAATAATGGATTTTTAACACTTCTCGAAAATAATCACACATAGAAGCTACGCAATGAGATTTGTTATACTTTGAAAATTAATTTTCGAAAAATAAATAAATACCCACCCAAAAAAGATTTATTTAAATTAAATAAATGGGATACGTTGAAATCACGTTTCTTTGAATCGACTAAATGTTTATTTACTTCTACCAAAACATCTGCTAGACTCGAAGAAATAGATATGAATTCTCTTAGAGATTTCAGTCTCAATCAAATAAAATTTCGGTTAAGGTAAAGAAATAATTTCTTTGAGATTAAATGAAGTCTAGCGAGGTCGAGATTGAAAGAGATTTTGATTTCGAAGAAACTTTTTCCCGGGTGTGTAGTTAAAATTAGACATTTTAAAGAGTACAAGATATTTCCTTGTGGTTTTCCTCGAACGGATGTTACGCTTAATATATCACGTATACATTGCGGACAGATAGACGCAACACGAAAAATAGCAAAACAGCGTATTGCCTTTTTCAAAATAAATCCGTCACGGTTCTATTAAAAAGAAAGAAGAAAAAAAAATAGATCGTTTATGACTCTCCAATTTCGCGGCTCGCGACGACTCGCTCGCTGTCACCGAAGTCGAGCATAATATTGACAAGTACGTGCGGAGAGCGTCGGTGGGACTCCGCTTTGCAAAACATGGAATTCGAACGGTAATTGAGAAGCAACAAAGTCCCTCCTTTGTTCATTCCCTCCGACCGCTACGAAAGTCTATCGGTACTTTCTCGTCTCGAAGAAGGAAGCTACGAGCTCCGGGGGTCTCTCGCTCTAAGCTCGGGATTTCCTTCCTCAGATCCGCGGCTTCAACCTCTTACCCTGGACTACCCTAAAATTATATACGTGGCCAAAGAGACGCGCGGCGGCTAACGGGTACGCGCTGGTGTCGCACAGCGGCGAGACGGGGCGCGAGGGAAAGTACCCGAGCGTGCGTGCCGTCGACGACCATAAATCTCGGCTCGCGTAAGCAACGCAATTGATCCACGTGACACCGGGCATTCTTTAGCACCGTCTCTCACGTCCGAAAAGACGCCGACTGCCTCTTTTTATCACGCCGCGCACGTGATTGTTACATTACAATACACTTGGTTCTTCCTTCCGTTTCAGACTCTCGGGCCGATTCGGAGACGATCCTCTCCTCCCCGATCGTTCTCGCGCGGAGCGCAGCTTTCGCGCGCGAGGCGAACAAAGAGCGCGCGCGAGAAAAAAAAGTAGGAAGGAGCGGCGAAAAAGAGGGAGCGGAAAAAAAGACGCGCTCGCCCGGCGAAGGAAAGCTGCGTCGAGGTACGAGCCACCGATCACAACAAACAATTTTTTCCCCGGGTGTTTTCGGAGTCGCGCACGCCCCGCAAGACACTCCAATTATCCCCGGTGTGCCCGCGGACGGTCTCGGGCTCTCCTCGTTTCTCGAAATATAGCGCGGGATGTGCTCCGTTTTCCCTTAAAATCGACCCGTCGTCGCAGGATCCCCGGGAGACCGGCGAACCGGCCGAGGATGTTAGTCGCGAGACGCGGGATGAATTATCTAACAGTCTGACACGCGTTGTGTAACGTCATGGCCCGTCGCTCGAGGCTCGACGACGGCGACGGCGAAAACCCCCCCGGGGCTCTGGGCGATGCGCGCTCGCACCTGCCGAAACGTTAACGCGAAAAATATTGTTACGCGGACGTCGTCGGGTTTGCGCCGATTTTTAAACGGAACCGCGCGGAGTCGAGGAACGGGAAAGTTACGAAACCGCGCGCTCGACCGCGTCGATATAGTCGCGAGTCGTTTTACGACCCATCGCTCCGCAAAATCGCGACGAGATCGATTTAACTTTTAGAGACGCGAACCCGCGGCCGTCGCTGACGGGGAGGACTTTAAAATGCGAGATTGCGACGCCGCGCAACGTGCGCGTCGCGTAAACAAAGCCACGAGATCGTGCGAAAGCAGAAACGAAAAAGAGACAGAGACAGAGACAGAGAGAGAGAAAGAAGAGGGGAAAAACGAATTAGGTGCCGCGACACATAACACACTTACCACGTCGTACATCCACGAGTCCATGGCCTCGTCTCCTCGTCCCACGCGACACCGAAAAGTGCACGCACGGTCTCTCCGTTTTCTCACGCGTGCACCTCCTCTCGCCGCCAGCCGGGACTGGCGCGAGCGCGACGTTCGGCACCGTTCGTCCGTCCGAATCGGCCCGTCGTAACGTCCTCGCGTCGTGTCGCGTCGCGGCGCGAGCGAGCGCGCCGCCCGCGCAATACAAAATATTACCGCGACGCGCGGTGCTGCGCGCACCGACGACGGCGACGACGAGGAGGAGGAAGAGGACGACGACGATTACGGCGGACGACGGCGACGACGACGTTCACGGCTACGCGCGCCGTACGCGACTGAAGGCGCTAAAACACATCGGCGGCGTTAAGTGAATCCGACGCGAGCCGATGCACGAAGGTGGACCGGCGGCGACGCGGGACGGAGGGCCCCGGACGGCCGCGCGCGGCAGCTGCGCCGCGCGTATACGTCACTACGACGCACATGCGTCAGGCCCGATCTCGATTGCTCGCGCTCGACCAAGGGGGTAATCACTAGCTAAAATGTGTGTTGTCCCACCGATTACATGATTCCATTACATTTCGTACGACCTCGTCCGATTGCAAATAATTTTCTTACACGCACGTTGAAAAATATGTTGACGTTGTTAAGTTTCGAAGAGCTGTTAGATTTTCTCGAAACATCATATTTTTGGGGGTTTTACTAATAAGTATTTGCTTGTAGAGATAAGTGTTAAGATTGTAGTACTTGGGGTTAGGGTTGGGTTAGGTACAAAACGTGTTTCCTCGCTTCTTACTTTTCCCACTAGTCTAACTGTGGTCTTAACGAGAAGTACCTAATTTCGTATTTGTATCTACTGTTTTTTGTTCTAAATTTGCGCGCAAAGGTGTAACAACGTTTCAAATTTTCAATAATTGGAGCACTATTGCAACAGCATCTTCCTGAGATTAGATCAAGTAAAAAAAAGTCCTGTACTACTTTTTCCTCCGACAAACAGTTATCGAGATATCATAAGCTGATCATTGAAAAAGTTATAAATTTTCTCTTGAATATCTCAAAAAGTATTGGGCAAATAAAAAAATATTTCGGACAAAAGTTGTTCATATTAATTAGTAGAATAAGATGGTATAATAAACAATAGGGGGTTCCATTTAAAAAATTGAAAGTGACCTTCACGTGACCTTCAAATGACTATCCGAGGTCAAGTCAATGGCACCACTTTATGTCGCCCTTCGAACCAAACAACTTTTGTTTGAACCGTTTTTCCGTATCTTTCATATTTTTGGAGATATTTGCGTGGATTTAAAATGAGACACCCTGTATATTTGGAGATTCACTAAAAGAAGTGCACTTTTTGGGAAAATGAAAACAAGTGAAAACAAGTTGAGAAAACGTACAAATTTCATAATGATTTCGGAGACACTGGCTGCACTCAGCAGAAAAACCTGCTTTGCAACAGTTGTAAAATTCGTAAATTTGATTGGAGTCTACTTTTAGTTTCTGCCACAGTTAAGAGCACACGCCAGTCAGATTTAAGATTTTTACAACAGTTGCGAAGCAGTTTTTTCTGCTGAATGCGGCCACTGTCCCATGATTATACATTAAGTGGTTACCTTGCGCCCGACGATCTCCCCGCGGAAGAAAACCACTTCGACTCCGAGGACCCGCGGCCTCACTCTCGAAAAATGTCGCATACGATATTTTCATGAGTATTTTGCTTCGTTCACAATGTGTCTTTACGTCTAGAAACATTCTGTTTGATATAAGCAAATCGAAACGCTTCAAAAATTTGTCGACAGCATAAGAAGTCTATTTAGCAACTTGCAGAAATTCTTTAAATGTATTTATCAGCTACGAAATAGAATGTTTCCAGACGCAAAGAGCACGTTGTAAATCAGGCTTTTGCGTCTAGAAACGTTCTATTTTGTAATAAATACACGGAGAATTTTCTCTTAAAGCTTATTCTGAAAATTATGTACGTTTCGAAAAATTTTTTGAAATTTTATCATGCATTTTACTAGTAAAATTTCAAAAACTCTGATAAAGTTCTTCAAAATGCCGTGTTGTCCCACGATCACATGATTTTCAGGATAAATTTTAAGAGAAAATTCTCCGTGTACGTTTAAACAATTTGTACAAGTTGATAAAACACTGTACAATCGTGGATTATCGAATTTTTTAAGCGTATTGATTTATTTAACAAAATAGAATGTTTCTAATCGCGAACATCACATTGTGGATTATGCTTTAAGTATAACATTCTAACGACATTCGTCAAATATCGCGTGCGAAATTTTTCAGGAATAAGAGCCTGGGAGATAAGGCACCCCGGGGAAAAGTTATATGCTTGAAATCGATGCGTCGAGAGAACGTCCCAAAGTTCCCAAACAATTGCCTTCGTTGTGTTTATCCTCATTTTTACTCCCGACTGTCGCCAGCCAAGGGTTGGCAAAAAGACGGAGGGAGTATGCGTTTCGCCGAGGTCGAATTGGCCGTTACCCTATTTCTCGGTGGCCGCGATGTAATTTGACATCAACTTTCGCTCATCAGTTCTTTATTAATCAAACTTGTGCTTGGGCGTTTATCTGGGGGCACTTGGGAGTTGCATCACGCTGCCTTGGAAGAAGAGGACGAAAAGTGTTATAAATCTTAATACTGGCCGTGCTTTCGCACTTAAAACGACAATATGTAATTAAGATCAAGAAATATCGCAACGAACTCTATGGTGGACAAAATAATGCACGTTGCATTCTGAGACCGTTACGTCGCGCCGTAGAAAGACCCAAGAATATTTTTTCGCCGCCAAAGCACTGACTTTATGTAATAATACGTATTTACAGGTAACGGATATATCAATAACATTATCATATTGTTAAGATTTATATATAATTTTTTATGTAGCATAAAAAATTTTCAAGTCTGTGTAACAAATAAATTTTATTACACAGCACATGCCTCAGCGGTCGAATTGGTGAGACGCCCGCTTGGAGCGTAGGGAAGTCCAGGTAATAAATTGTCTCTAATTAAAATTGCCTGTTGTGTCGGTTATCAATTTTCCTACACTGAAAATTTATTTATACTGCACCGTCTATTAATGTCTATTGTCCCCCGCGGTGCTCGCGTTGTTCGCGCTGGACGCAAGAAATGAAATGTTGCATTATGTAAAGTAACGGTGGCTTTCTCTCGATCTGAAATAACGTCTATCGTGCAGTTGCATCGTATTAGGCAACACCGAAGTACTTCCTGCCTTATCGTGCCTATCGATAAGACTGTCTCGAGCTGGCGCACAGATGTTACCGTTTTTTCGTGAGCGTCGCGTCGCGTCGCGTGCAATGTCGGTTTGGATAAAATCATGGTCACGGGCAATCGGTCATTAACATTGCAGCCCTCGTATCACCTTGATACGGCCGGCGCTTTATCGTGCCAACGCGAAGCAGCATTTTCGTATCTCTATACGCATTGATTTATATCCTCTCTCTTTCTCGCTCGTCTCTGGCATTAAGCTCCACCCTTTCCGAGAAGCGAGGCAGTAGCAGACACTCGTAAAATGTTTTCCTACACTCTAGATGAACATATTTATAGAGACATTGTGTCACAGGCATATGCTACAGATAAGTTCTCTATCGCGTGTACGTAAATATGTGTTTTATCGCACAACTATCATCATATCCATTAACAATTGTACAAATTATTTTAGTTTGCACTCATCGGCGAGAGGTCTGAGCTGGCAAAATTTTCAAGCGTGTTGATTGGCCACAGGATAGAAAAGTTCTCGAGTACCCAGAAATTTTCTATCCTGCGGCCAATCAACACGCTTAAAAAATTTTTGCCGTGCGACAAATGTAATATCAGTCTAAAGTCTAATCTACAATGTGCTTTTTGCGTCTAGAAACGTTCTATTTTATATAAACAAATCAAAACGCCTCAAAAATTTGTCAACAATGTACGATTACGCAATGTACAATATACAATTTATCAATTTGCACATATTTTTTAAACGTATTTGTTGGCTACAAAATACAACGTTTCTAGGCGCAGAGAGCACATTGTAGATTAGGCTTAAGGTAGCATTACATAAGCTAGTATTACATTTTGTCGTACGACAAATTTTTCAAGCGCGTTGACTGGCCGCAGAATAATAAAGTTCTCGAGTCTCTAAAAATTTTCTAATCTGCAGCCAATCAACTCGCTTAAAAAAAATTTGTCGTACGACAAATGTAATACCAGCCTAGTAAGTTAAAAAGCCGAAAAGCTATATACATCCCTGATATTTCAAGAGACAATTTTCAGACCCATGTTTACGAAAATTTTTTCTCCCGTTCAATTTGATCGTAAGACTCGCGCGTCTCGCAGTTTCTCAAAATCCGAGGATACTCGCGGCGGGGGCCCACGTGTCGAGCGGCATTTACGTACGGACGAATTGAATTTTCCCTCGCGACAACGGGGTAGATCGATCGAGCGAAACGCTCCCGTCGCGTCGTCGCGCACGAAGAATCGCCCGGAGTGATCGCGGGGCAGCGGCGACCCCGACTTGATACGTCACTGGCGCTCAGACGCGCCAATGTGTGTACATCACGGCGGCGATAGGTGAGTGGGTGGCGGGGGCGGCGAAGGCGACGGCGGCCGCGACGGGAGTCGCGGAACGGCGGGGTGGTGGGGAGAAGGGGGTGGAGACGTCGGTGGCCTTGAACTTGACTGCCGTCGCTTTTTGCGCACACAGCCGCTGCGTCGCCCGCCCAAAACAGCCCACCGGCGTAGACCTCGCGCGTCTACCAGACGACGACGACGGCGATGACGGCGTCGCGCCGTCACGGGGGATCTTTCCCAGACTTATTTATTCTTCGAATTAGAGCGAGACTATGAGACGACGCGCTTAACGTTCATTCAACAAGTACCACCGACCGACGGTGCCGTCTGATAAATTTAATTGTGATTTTAACGCGGATATCGGTCGGAACTTGTTTCAATGGCTTACAAAATTGTCCACTCTCGCACGTTTCTCATTCACTTTCTTCCGTTCGTTGCCTTACTCGGCGTTCGCATTTCAATGAGGATCGGCTCGCCTCCCCCCCCCCCCTCCACGCGTTAACATATCTGACTTTATTCGCGTAATCGTATTTCGACACTTAAGATTAGATTTAGCGGTTTTATCGCGACATTCTCTTTTTTTTCCCCCCCGATTTATAATCTAAATGCACGTGTTCGTTCGGGCAAATTAAAAATCATACTTGATACGCAGCAGCGACTCGAGTCGATCGATACGAGTACAGGTCAATGTACTCGCGGAAATTTTTCAATATCTTGTTAACTCTTAACTTACCCGGAGGAGTCTACTGAATTTTCTTCGTTAGGAGAATCCTAATAATTCTTTAATCTCGGACAGCCAATAGAATTATTTTGACATAAAATGTATATCGCATTACGCGTCTACTAATTCGCGTCTATAATTAATTATTACATAGCGTTATTTCTCAGTGAGAAACAAATCGAAAAGTCCTGAACTATCTTTTCCTCTCCGACATTTAACGCGGAAAATACCGTCGCCCTTCATAAATTCGAATATGTTCGATTGTCCTTTCAACACTTTTGCATTTCGCATCTTACGACACTTCTTTTTGTAGAAGAAGAAAGTAGGAGTAAAAATTGTTGTACGTAGAATAATGGGAATAATCGATTGGTGTAAAAAAATAATAACGGTTCTATTCTAAGAAAAGTGCATTTGCACAAAATGAGGTCATCGATTCTTCCATTATTCGCCATATAAAAGTACCGAGGTAAAATTAAAAGAGAGTGAATACACTGGCTGACATAGGCTTTTTAAAGTTTTACAGGCTGAGAATAATGATCGCACGAGTATCGTGTTCTTGTAATTGTATATCTGTTCATGCAGAGCAAGTAAAAATTACTGTTACGATAAGCGTCGCTTTTCAAGTACGATAATGTCTGCGAACATGAATACTATTGCACAACGTATTTTACAGAATTTATATAAATATAATAGTAATGTGACAAATAACAGTTATGTAAACTTTTCAGCGTTCTTTATGGATAAAGTTAGAAAATAATTTGGAAATTTATCTTCAATCCTTTCTCTCGCGATTTCGGGCAATTCAGAGAAATTTCACACGATATAATTTACTATTTAAATCGCAACTGTTTATTGTTTATTGTAACACGTAGAATGTTGTAGATCACATTTTACTTATTTTTCATCCGACCTGTATTGAAAATGTTTGTAAGATACCTGGTATATATCATCGACTTCTATTCATTTATTAAACAGTTCGTGATGAAATCTAGCTCTTAAAAGATGTCTGCCTAGCAATGATCAAAAGCCAAGCAACACAGGTTGGTTGTTATGTAAAAGGATTCACTTTGTCAAATTCTACGTGAATTGGCGTAATCTATTCGAGATAAATTCCTTTCCGGCGCGGAAAGAAATTCTTACAGAGTGTAAAAAGAATTCCTTTCGTATCCGAAAAAGAGCTCGAAAATGACGACATAGGTCCTTTCCAAACTCTTAAGAAGTTACTTTCCGCTCTTAGGAGAGAAATAAAAGAATTTATTTCATAATTCAAGAATTCGCAAACTTTTCGAATTCTCCGTGCCGTCTATGCTTATTCGCGCAGAAGTATTAAATTCTAGACATTTTTCTGAGCGAAGTGGAACGGAAAAATCGAAAGGGGCTCACAGATCGCGCCGGCTCGCGATAGAAATTCACCCCCGTTCGCAGCAAGAACTCGTCGACGTCGGCGAAACGGCGGGTGTGATGAATGACGGACCGAGACGGGAAGCGGTCTGTGCCCTCAAAAATTCGCCGACGAAAGGGGTGAGGAGGGAACAGACGGGAGGGAGAAACAACGGAGCCGCTGCCGGTGGGCATCGGGCGAGTCGTCGTTCGGTTCGGCGCGACGTTAGGGTTGAGGTAGGCGAGACCAGCTCGCGTGCGTGGCGGATCAATATAGCACTCTCGCTTTCTCTCGCATTCCCGATGTACGTGCGCACGTGCCCGCGTGCGTGTCTGCCCCGCGAGCATCGTCGGGCCCGGTACAGTTTCGAGGCGAGTTCAATTCTCGCGAGCAAGCGCGAAACGGAGGGTAGCGGAGGGTGGGGAGGGACCGAAGGGTAACCGATGACCAAAATCGTGTAAAACTCGAGACGCTAAGAGCCAGTTCCACAAACGTCGGTTAACTGTTAACCAGAGTTCAGTCAACTCTCGATTTTTTTCTGTCTTATTAAGGGCCAGTTTCACATACGTCGTTTAACCACTAACCCATGGTTAATTGATTCTCTGTCTCTTCTTGGATAACAAGATAGAGAAAGATAGGAAGTCGACTGAACTCTGGTTAATAGTTAACCGACGTTTGTGAAACTGGACCTAAGAAGAGACAGAGAATCAATTAACCTTCGGTTAGCAGTTAACCAACGTTTGTGAAACTAGCCCTAAGCCGCGACGCAAGAAATCGACCGATCACAGTCAAAAGTAAGAAGAATGATCGATTGTTATTGGCCGATTTTTTGCGTAGCGTCTTGCGCGTAGCGTCCATTGTAGAATGAGCTTTAATGCATTAAAATTCGACAGTATTGTAGGCATTATTTTATCTTATTATCTGTAGCTGTTCCATAAAAGGTGCAAGTCGATTGGCTACACATTTCTCGGAACTAGAACTTGGATACAGTTCGTGGACACAATACTTTAAGGCCTGCGTCCACGATGCTAAAACTTGGTCCAAGTTCTAGTTCCGGGAAATGTGTGGCCAATCAACGTGCAGCTCTTATGGAATAGCTACTGCAGGTTGATTGGCCACACGTTTCTCGAAACTAGAACTTGGACACAGTTCGTGGACACAGAAATGTGCAACCAATCAACCTGTATCTTTTATAGAAAAGCTGCAAGTTGATTGGCTACGCATTTCTTGGAACTTGAACTTGGACACAGTTCTTGGATCGTGGACTCAAGGCTTTAGATATGTGGGCAGGGTGGGCAGAAGCAGAAAGTACCGTTTTTCAGTACGCGTACTCGTAAGAATACACCATGCACGTGGAAATTAAATAAACCGCGCCAATTGTTGTTGAACGTCCAGGGGGATGGCCGTCGGTAATAGAGGCATTCGTGCGGACATCTCGGTCGATACTGGGTGTAATGTTTCGATCGGCGACGTTTCGCGGGTACCAGCTGATGTATATACGTATACCGGAGCAGTCTGTCTCTCCGCACTCGCGCATGCAACGCCTACACGACCGTTTCGTAACGCATCGCCGACGGAGAGACTTACATCTGGACGAAGTGGATGTTTTTAATATCGAGCGAACGTCGGGACTACGTCAAGGCGAAGGAAAAGAGCGAGCGAGCGAGAAAGAGAGAGAGAGAAAAGCTATACGTCGCGACTCACGAGGTTCGATTCGCGAGGCGGAGCACGCGTCGCGGACTCGATCGAGAGCACGCGACGCGACCAACTTCGGGGCGAAGGGGGATCAAGGCCGCGAATAATTCGAGGAAGGGATGAAATATCGGATCGGCGACGCTCGGGAGGAGAAAAAAAAACCGCTCGCGGCGGAGCGAGTACGCGGAGCCGCGAGCAGAGTTCTCTCAACAAAGATGGCGGGCGCGGACCTGGCGAAGTCACCGCGAGACTGGCGGCCGCGGCGCGATGAACGGCGGCCCCGCGATCCGCGTCGCGGAGCACGCGCGCGCGAGAGCGCGTCGCGTGCCATGTTTACTCACCGTTCGGGGGACTCAATCAGCCCGATCGCGATCTCCCCATTGCCGCTCGTGGCCCCTCGTGCACGACAAAAATGTTGGAGCAATGGCTGATTTTACGGCCCACCAGTGGCGGAAAACTCCACGATGCATCGCGGGGGAGGGCAGCAGCATCGGCCGCGTGGCGCCATCGGACGGCGAACCGTGCGAAAGGCGGGAACGAGCCTCCGTCGGTAACTCGAAGAACCGCGCTCTACTCGGGACTCTCTTGAATCCATTCGCGAAAGAAATGTACACAAAGTTCTCTTGTACAAATGTAGCAAGTCGATTAACTAAAAGTCGTATAAATAGCCGATCAACTTGTAACTTTTCTGTAGGAGCAGAATTTTTTTATATGATTCTCTTGCGATTGACTCAAGTCCTTGAAGAGATTCTCACAGAAAAAAACCGCTAAACACTAAAACATATTTCGAGCTTTGTTCCATTTACATCCTTGCGCTCCGATTACCGTGTTTTTGCTATGGGGAATAAAAAAGTAGTTTTGTTCTACGCACGCACACAAATATTCACAAACTCAATACTAGTGGAAAAAAGGAAGAGGGAAAATTGAGAAGAATACAGATCGTGTACAGCAATCTATGAGAAACATACTCGACTATTCGTTGATTAAAATTACATAAATACTTTTCATATAATTAGGACAGTGTAAGAATTCGACGCGACAATGGTGCGATGTACAGTCCGAAAACTTTGATACAAAAATAATGTTGAATTCTTTTCGAGTTTGTACGAATGCCTTTCCATCTTTTAAAATTGCGCGAGACCAGTGTCGCGCTGAATCCTCTAAACGTTCGCTCGAGACGCTGTTTTTCGGTCATACTTTACAGCCATCAGAGTTTGGCGATCTCGCACGAGATATTGCTGGCACTCCATTTACCGCCGAGGGCCGGTTTCGCGCTCAGCCTGGCGTAAGTGTGCTTGTGCGTACGCTCCGGATTCAGAACCACGCACTCGTTGATCACCTTGCAGTAACACCGCATGTCGGACGGCAGAACCAACAGGTGCGGTTGCTGGTCGAAAAACGTGTATTTCTCCCACAGCTCCGTATCCACGTTCAGATCCTCGGACGGGGGATACACGGGATAGAAACACGCTTGAGCGAGCACGTGGTCGGCCAGGCGGCCGAGTCTATCGCCCGACACATTGCTGAAAAAATTTGTTCATTTATTTTTAAAAAAAAAGACATGCAAAGTTCGTGTAGATGAAATATGTAGCCATGTATGTTACATGTCATTAGAATAATATTAAACAAAAAATCTATCGACTCTTGAGATTGTTAAACTCTGCGAAAGGGACATGTGCTTACGATATTTCTTCTTTCCCGATATGTTTGATAACGTCAACCGACGTGATTCCCATCTTCAAACCGGCAACGTCTAATATACAAGGATCCGGCATCAGCTTCAGGTTCGAATAATTTTGTAGCAACTTCCGATTGAAAAGTGTATACTCAGGTGTTGGAAATACAGGTTCGTGCTGCACGTCGCGATTGGAAGCTACCAGCACGACCCGTGTGGTCTTCCTGCAACATCACACCAATCTGATTAACAGGGGAAAACTTAATCCACTTATCTGTACAGCACGTAATCGCGAAAAATAAAGCAGAATTCTTCGTCTTTAAACGCTCGTAATTCAAGAATCCGAGACACTCCGTGCATTACCGCGTCGACTCCATTATTCTCGTGAGAATCTTCTCGAATTGCTCCTGATGCGTGTCCGTAATGAGATTGTCTTGTACGTCGGGGTGCGTGTACTCGAGAAAGGGCCCGATCAGAATCAAGACCTGCGGCTCGTCCGACGTGACCTTCTCCATCAAGTCCCACAACGGCTGGTAGTGCATGTTACTGGACGCGGTGAACGGGCCGGCCGCGATGAAAATGTTGACCCTCGATTCGAGCCGCGGCGTCGAGGCGAGCGGCGCGTACGACTTGGCAAATATCTCCTTCACGTACAACGTGTTGCCCACCGGATTGACGGCCTCGACCGCCACGATCTGGCCGGAGAACACCGAGTACTGTCTCAGATTGCGAAAATCCAGCTCGATCGTGTCGGCCGCCGAGGCGTCCCTCCGCCTCGCGCAACCCACCAGCGTCACCGCGTTCTCGGGTCCCTTCTTCGTGCTGATGCGACCGAACGTACGAAAGTTCCTCTGATTCACGCTCCGTACGTTCCTCACGTAGCGCAGCTCGGTTGCTGCGTTACCGGACACTGTCGACCACATCTTGACCAGTCTGCCGCACAGGTTCTGGCACGCGAACGTGAGGAGGTGTCCTTGCTTCGACAGGACCTCGTACATGTACGTCGCGTCGACGGGGATGTGCGGCTCGTCTGATTTGGCAACTTGCACGTCGTAATCGCCCGTCCTCTTCCAAGACGCGACGGTCTCGCCGATGGAAAGCAGGATCTTCCCCTTGTCCGTCGTGTTACGCTGACTTGGCACATTTCTACAAACGACAGAATATACTGCAGAAGCGAAATGTGAGAAGTGAAATTGACCGAGTCTAAACAAATCCTTATCCGTGTCCATTATACAGCCTTGCCCGAATTATTAGGCACCCTCGTGATCTTCATACTGTACTGAATCGAATACCAAGAAATACTTTTAGTGTTTAAAAGCTGTTTACCGTATAAAGGCAATAAACGCTCTAGTAGACAATTTTTTAACAGTAAGACCCGGTTTCACCAACGTTGTTTAACTTTAAGCTTAGCTCAATTCGTTCTTTGTCTCTTCCCAACTGTTACTTTAGAAAAAGACAAACATGAATTAAACAAATTGTAAGATTAAGTGACGTTTGGTGAAACTAGGTCTGAAAGTCTTTCTGAATCCTGATTGGAATTACATTCAGTAGAGTATAATAATTATAAAGATGCCTGATAATTTTGACCAAGGCTGTATATTAGACGTAACATTTTACTTTATATATCACGAGATTATGTTGCAATTTCGAATTCTTTAAAAAAATACAAAGTTTCGAGTGCAAAGGCATATGCTATACGAAGACGTTGGTCTCCTCTTTATTACTTGATGCAGAAGCGGATCTGATACGAAAAGTTTGACATGAGCAGCGAATCTTGCGGAAAAACCGCCGTACAAAAAACAATCTCCTTACGACTTCTCGGTGGTGCTGGCTGGTGAAAACGAGTATTCCGCAACTCTCGCTTTACCGGCCCGTGCATCCGCGTCGATTTCTACCTCGGGACTCGGCCGCATGCGCTACGAGGAAAAAAGGAAACAGCCGCGTTACCCATCATCTTCTGATCGCGCACGAGCGAATCCACGTCAGCCGGTGACTGACGTGAACGCACACAAATGCGAGCCTTTAATTAAAGAGTTTATATCTTGAAACCGCCTTATACCCGATCCTCTCCTCAAGAGCGTAGTTTTGTACCGTAAAACTGTGAGCAAACGTATAATCCGTGCTTAAAAAGAAATGCATCGATTCAAGACGGTTTCGAAGCAAACTCATCAATTATTCGCGACGATCTTTTCCAAATGCAATAGAAAAACGTAAAAGGCTGAATATATAAAATTAAAATCGTGACTAAGTTAAGGAGCGTGCAGCCCTGAATAGAAATATACATTAATTCCATATCGTTTAAATTTAAAAGCTAGAATATAAATACTTTGTATTACAATTGTACGACACAATTCTTATATTTATATTATGCCTCAGTGGTCGAATTGGTGAGACGTCCACCTAGAGTGTAGGGAGGTCCAGGTTCAATCCCTGGCGGAGGTAATAATTTTCGCAATGAATTTCTTTAATTAGAATTTGCCAGTTAGCGTCGTTTAGCAATTTTTCTACATTGGTTAAGTACCGGCCAAATAATTCTTTATCTTATATTTTATTCTTCTTCATTGTGTATTACATTCTTCTAATATTTACTTCTATTTCTAATATTTTCTCTATTAGCAGGGCCTTGTTACGAACTTAGCGAATTACGTCTGACGCTCGGTTTCTTAAAAACCCGCTTTAAACAATCTATAGTTTGCGTCAAGATATAAAACAGAACTTATAAATTTTATACTGGGTATAATACATTTCAAGATATATGTATTCTGATGCGATATCTATCCTACGTGTTAAAGATCTTAATATTAATCCGTTAAAACAATATACGCGCTACATCGCTGTTCATTTATCGGACTTTCCACGCTCTTGCTGACATACCGTCTTTTAAATTACAAATGTCATATTTTTACATTCTTTTCTGTCGACTTCCGATAGCAGCGGCCTCGCCTCTCGCGTGTAAATCCGCGTTATATCGTACCCGCACATCGTACTTGTTTACCCTGTAAATTATCACTACCATCTGGTACACACACGCGGTAAATGACTGTTATTAAAATGATTACTATTATTAACGTTTTCACAGAGAAAACTTGAGTTTCCTCGGCTCCTCTATTTCTTCATTTTTCCTTTTTTCTTTATATGAGACATTCTTACATACAATACACGAGCGGCACAGATGTGATTTCGCGCAAATTCCACGAGGCAAACGTAGACTCTCCGTCGTCGGTTCGCCCGCGTGGGCACGACGTTTCGTCTTACGAAACACGTCACTAAAAAAAATGATTTTGCAACTGCAGCAACAATTTTCTAGATACGCAAAATTAACTGAGATACATAAATGAATAGCCACTGCGAAATTGCGTGCGCTTTGCACTTGATCAATTTAAATAACAGACGGAGTTTATGTCTGAACTGCTAGTGAAAGTTAGGAAGAAAGTCTTACCGTAACGCCCATCCATTGTAAAGCTTGATTGCATTACATACAACAACTGTACCTCTTACAAAAATTGTTCGGACTATAGTACCGAAATTTATTTTTATCCAATGCAGTGATCAACATTTAGTCACGAAACCTAAACTTTCCACAAGATATTACCAGAATTTGCCGCTACAAAAACAATTTCCTAGCAGATTAACACTTAAACTAATATTACATTATTTGTCGTACGATAAACTTTTTCAAGCATGTTGATTGGCTGTAGAATAGAAAAGTTCTCGAGTCTCTAGAAATCATCTGTTCTGCAGCCAATCTCGACAAGCTTGAAAAATTCGTCGCACGACAAATGTAATATTAGCCTCAGCCATGAGACCCTAAACTTTCCAGAAGACGTTACTAGAATTTGCTGCTATAAATTCTGCGGGCTACAAAAACAATTTCCTAGCAGATACAAAAAGTAACGACAAATTTTTGTTGCGGCACCGAGAAATCTACCTGCGTTAGTAAAATCTTTTTTTAGTGACGTCGATACACGGCGCACAGATAACGACGACGCGTTCCAGCGGAGGACTGCATTCCCGAGGTGCTTCCGATACCGAGAGACAGATTGCCGTAGACGAGTATGTATCTAGTCACGAAATGACAACACGCACGTGCACCACATCCACACTCGCCTATGGAATTATTCTCTTTCTCCATCTCCGGGCGTGACTCATTTCGCTTCGCGCCGCCGGCGACGATCCCGTCGATCGAAGGACCTCGTCGCGAGGGCCTCCCTTGTCGCCGATCTATCTGAGGATCATCTCCAACAGATGATGTAAGCCTGGCGTAAGGAGCAAGAGTAGGATTAAGGAAATGAATCCTTTCCATCTCCCGCTCTTACCTAAACTCTGACGCTTACTCTCGGCGAATTAGAGCGCCAGCGCTACAAATGTTTTACAAAATTATGCCTGTATTTTAGCTTTTGCACCGAAAGACAAGTCCCAGTCTACGATAGATTTAAGTCCTAAGCCCTAAAGGCCAATGTCCACGATGCTAGTCGTGAAGCTTGGTTCAAGTTCTAG